ATTTTGCAAAAAACATTCTTAGAAAAAATTCTGATACATCAGTTCCTCTTTATTTTTCTTCCCTTTTAAAATTACTTTCCCCCAATGGATACAAATTACTTGATTTGATAGCATTAAAAGAAAAGATAGAAAATATTTATTCCATGCAACGTTTTTCATTTTCATGAAAACTTGAAGCTTACTTTCAGAGAGGGTAAAACTTTTCCTCTACCTTCCTAAATTTAAAACCAAAAGCCCATGAATCAATCTGATAAAAGAGAAATTAACAGGGGAGTGCTAGATGGCGGAGTAGGGAGGGAGTTTACTGCTCTACTCCAGGAGAAGATAGTTTAAAAAAGTGGAGATAGTGTAGTCTCAGGGAAGAGTTAGGGAAAAAAATGGCAGAGGAAACTCTACTGAAATTAGAGGGACATGGTTGACCTACATGTAGGGCATGGGCAGCCACGGCTTGGGACTACAACAGCCATGAGCTTATGCACCAGTGCTGGAAAATGAGGTGAGACCAGACCACAGCAACCACTGGTGAAAAAGTGGCAGGAAGAACAGGAGCCCTGTGGGATAAAGTGTACAGCTAAACTAGAGGAGAAAAAAAAAAAAAGAGAGAGAGAGATGAACACGTTTCTCTCTCTCCGATCACTTTACAAAGGCTTACTATAACAAGTCGATAAATCAGGCACCATTTTGGACATACATTACAGCTGCACCAGCTTGTGTCTGCACCTGGCGGCAAGCCAAGCATAGATTCCTGACTCTGTTGGGGAGAAATAACAGGGGGTTAGGAGATTGTGACCCTATGAAGCTTCTGAACTGGGAATGTGAAAAAAAAAAAAAAAAAAAAAAAAAAAAAAAAAACAGGGTGTGTGGGAGAACTCACGGTGTGGCTGGAACTTTGAGCAGTGTCAGTCAGAGACTCCACAAGCTCAGGGGTTCCTGGTTACCTGGTGAGAGACACTGCTGGGGAATCAACTCACACTGAGAACTGCACAGATCCTTTGTGTGGTCCTTGGGACAGAAAGGACAAAAATACCCACTGGGGCTAGCGCTCAGGCTCTGGTCTCAGCTGAAAAGAATATACCTCCCTTCTGATTAAAAGAGAGAGAGAGAGAGAGATTTACCATCTCAAACCTAAGTGTGTCACCCTAGACACACTCTTAACCCTGGAGAACCGAACAGAGCTCTCTGGTCACATGCACTACAAGGCTCTAGAGATTCACAGAAAGCAAAATTCCCTTTATCTATAGAGTCATAGTACAACAATAAAAAAAGAAAGCCTCACAGCAAGAAGAAGAATAAGAGGAAGAAGAAGAAGGAGGAGGAGGAGGAGGAGGAGGAGGAGGAGGAGGAGAAGGAGAGGAGGAAATCAATGGTTATCTCCACAAATGCTGAGCAACAAATGCACCAATCCAAGAAACAAGAATAAGGAAGATAACATGATGCTCCCAAAAGAACATGACACTTCAATACTAGACTGTGAATATGAGGAGAGAGAAGAAATGCAAGAAACAGAACTCAAAAAATCAATCATAAGATTATATAGAAGTAATCAAAAGCAAACGCATGACTACTGAAATCCATGCAGGACATGAAAGAAAATTTCTCCCATGAAATTGAGATATTAAAGAGGAATCAAAATGAAATGAAGAATTCAATAGAACATGAAATTGAGATCTGAAAGAGAAATCAAAATTAAAGAAAGAAACAATGGAACAAATTAAAAAATGCAGTGGAGAGCCTTAAAAACAAAATCGGTGAAGCAGAAGAGAGAATATTGGACTTAGAAGACAAAGCACAGGAAATTATACAGTCAAACCAAAGACAAGAAGAGGAAATTAGGGGGCTGGCACCATGGCACAGTGGGTAAAACTTCTGCCTGCAGTGCCAGCATCATATATGGGTGCTGGTTCTAGTCCCGGCTGCCTCTCTTCCAATCTATCTCTCTGGTATGGCCTGGGAAAGCAGTAGAAGATGGCCCAAGTCCTTGGGCCCCTGCACCCATGTGGGAGACCCAGAGAAAGCTCCTGGCTTCTGGCTTCTGGCTTTGGACCAGTACAACTCTGGCCATTGTGGCCATTTGGGGAGTGAACCAACGGAAGGAGGACCTTTCTCTCTGTCTTGACCTCTCACTGTCTGTAACTCTACCTAGCAAATACATAAATAAAACCTTTTAAAAAAGAAGAGGAAATAAGAAAACTAAAAAATAGTGTTGGGAATCTACAGATTACCAGGAAAAAAAAAATATGGGTGCTAGGAGTTCCTGAAGGCATGGAGAGAAAGAAAGGATTAGAAGGCCTTTTCACTGAAATAAGAGCAGAAAACTTTCCAGATTTGGAGAAATAAAGGGACATCCAAGGAGGACAAGTGCACAGAACTCCCACGACATGACCAGAAAAGATCCTCACCGTGACACATTGTAATCAGACTCACCACAGTGAAAAAGAGAAAATTCTAAAATGTGCAGGAGAGAAATGTCAGATTAATTTCAGAGGATCTCCACGGAGGATCACGGAGGACTTCTCCTCTCCCTACAGGCTATTAGAGAATGGTGAGATATAGTCCAAGTGCTAAGAGAAAAAAAACTGTCATCCCAGAATATTATTTACTGCAAAGTTCTCATTTGTGAATGAAGGTGAAATAAAGACCTTCCATAACAAACAGAAATTGAAAAAATTTGTCACCACCCATCCTGACCTAAAAAAGATGCTTAAAGATATGTTACACATAGAAACACAGAAACATGGTCATCGATACAAAAGAAGGTAAAGGAAGAAAATCTCTCAGTAAAAGATCAAAGGAAGTTCAAAGTATAAATTGAGAATATTTTTTCAGAAACAGCTGCAAGTGGGGTGACCTTCCCATCACTTCCTGGTTGCCAAAAATATGGGGGGGGGGCACATTTTTCCTCTACTCTCCAACCTACAGTGGTTGGAAATATACAAATTAAACTGACAAAAGGATTTAACAATAGGAAAAAGATGAATTATATAAATAAACCTAGGAGGTCACAAAGCGATGTTCTCAAGAGGCAGTTAGAATTGAGTTCTTGGCCAGCACCGTGGCTCACTAGGCTAATCCTCCGCCTAGCGGTGCCGGAACACCAAGTTCTAGTTCTGGTTGGGGCGCCGGATTCTTTCCCAGTTGCCCCTCTTCCAGACCAGCTCTCTGCTGTGGCCCGGGAAGGCAGTGGAGGGTGGCCCAAGTGCTTGGGCCCTGCACCCCATGGGAGACCAGGAGAAGCACCTGGCTCCTGCCATCAGATCAGCGCAGTGCACCAGCCGCAGCGCGCCAGCCGTGGCGGCCATTGGAGGGTGAACCAACGGCAAAGGAAGACCTTTCTCTTTGCCTCTCTCTCTCACTATCCACTCTGCCTGTCAAAAAAAAAAAAAAAAAAAAAAAAAAAAAAGAATTGAGTTCTTGTACACCATCTATGTCAGACAAAGGAAAATGGGTTTTGAGGCTTTTAAGTAAGGAAGGTGAAGGTAGGAAATGTTTGGTATATAAGTGTTGTTTATTAATGTTTGTCATGCAGTTAAGAGTCATCAGGTCCTAAAAGATGCCTATGGAGTCATTTTCTTTGGATTTTGGAAGAGGAAGATACTTTTTTTTTTTTTAACTTTTATTTAATGAATATAAATTTCCAAAGTACAGCTTATGGAGTACAATGGCTTCCCCCCCATAACGTCCCTCCCACCCGCAACCCTCCCCTTTCCCGCTCCCTCTCCCCTTACATTCACATCAAGATTCATTTTCGTTTCTCTTTATATACAGAAGATCAGTTTAGCATACATTAAGTAAAGATTTCAACAGTTTGCTCCCACACAGAAACATAAAGTGAAAAATACTGTTTGAGTACTAGTTATAGCATTAAATCTCAAAGTACAACACATTAAGGACAGAGATCCTACATGAGGAGTAAGTGCACAGTGACTCCTGTTGTTGACTTAACAAATTGACACTCTTGTTTATGGCCTCAGTAATCACCCTAGGCTCTTGTCATGAGCTACCAAGGCTATGGAAGCCCCCTGAGTTCACCGACTCTGATCATATTTAGACAAGGCCATGGTCAAAGTGGAAGTTCTCTCCTCCCTTCAGAGAAAGGTACCTCCTTCTTTGATGACCCGTTCTTTCCACTGGGATCTCACTTGGGGAGATCTTTCAATAAGGTTTTTTTTTTTTTTCCAGAGAGGAAGATACTTTTATGAATGGAAATTTATGTCAGAGATCAGAGAGCTATCTGCTGTCAGCTCAAAAAATGCTTATGCAAATATGAGAGGTTTTAGAGTGGCATACTCTGGTATTTTTCAGCTGAATAGAATTCTATATTTTAATTTTAATATATTTTATTAGTATATTTTACACTAAACTTTTTCAGACTATATCAGTATTTTCAGTATTCCTCTGCTTTGAGACCCAATAACCCAAATAACTTACTTTACAGACTTTCTTATGTATCACTTTAAATATTTTCCCTAATTTCTTAAAGGTTTATCTGTTTGACAGACACTTTAACAGACACAGAGGTAGACACACACACAAAGAGAGAGAAAGAGAAACAGAAACAGAGAGAGTGAGTGGAAGAGGAGAGAAGAAAAAATTTCCAAGCACTTTTTCACTCCCCAAATGGCCATACAAGCTGAGGCTGGCCAAGTTGAAAACAGAAGTACAGAATTTCATCTGGGTCTCCATTCGGGTACAGGGGATGAAGCAATTGGCCCATCATCCATTGCTTTTCTAGGCACCTTAGCAGGGAACTGGATCAGAAACAGAGCAGCTGGGACTTGAAGCAGCACTCCAACACTGGATGCCAGCTTAACCAGCTGTGCCATAACTGGCCCCTATTTTCCTGTATTTTAGTGTTTTCTGTACTTAAACAAGAGTAATACATCTCAAAGCACCTTAAAAAGTGTTGTGAACTCATACACATATGTTGGATTGTGAGTCTTTGTAGTAACAAATAAATTTATTTAATCTTTACTTGTGGCCCTAAAACACCCAAAACATACCTGATAACATGCAAAACTGAGGCTGAGGCTTGATTGAAAAATTCCAATGAATCACATGACCTCTAACTGAATTAGAATCAATACTGGACTCAAAACTCTATAAACTGACTTTCACCTAAGAAGATAGGTTGAACATGGCAAGATCTCAAAAAGGGCTAAGTATAACATTACTTCCTATTCCTGGTCCAATGATTTTGATTTGATTTTCTTTGTATTAGGTATTATGAGAGTATCAGATTGCTAATTCTTAATATTCTGAAAAAAGACACATATTATTGAAAATATGAGATAGTATGTATTAAGCTTGAAACAGTGTTTAGTACATTAATACAATTTCTCATTTAATACAGCAAATGTAAAAGTAGATATTATTTTCATTTTACAGATAAGGTAGCTAAGGTTTCTTAAAACTGTCCTCTTATGGTATTCATTATGAAAATATAATCATTTTGTGACTCAAAATAGCCTTCAAAGATACTAAAAATAGTGAGTTGCATTTGGCAAATTTGTATTTGAGGGAAATAATGGATAACATTTTTCATGCAATTCTAAGTATTCTCTTTGCAGCTTACACCTTTCAATGCACCTATTTCTACCTAAAATCAGATATTTGAGTGACTCTGAGCCACACATCTCTTCTTTTAGGTTTCAGAGTTTATGATCAAGGACAAAAAGAGCAAACAGACTGTATATTTACCCATCTGTTCAATTTCTTGCGAAAGACCTTTAAAGGGCTTTTAATACATCACTTTTTCAGCTACCTTTTTTTTAACCATTGTTTTCCTTGGAGCTCTTAAATAATTTCTCCTGAAATATTATTATTCTAAGCAACAAATTGAAAAGCACATTTGTTATCTAGATTCTTTTTTGTTTTATCTGCCTTTTAAGTTTGTATGCATTATTGGGAAATGAAACTGGGAAATACAAACAAAACAGTACAATTGAGAATCATTTAAACTACATCAGAAATTTTTTTGAGTTATTTTCAAAATAACAAATTTTACTTTGATATATTCAACCGTACAAAAAGTATCAGTATTCTAAAACTGGTCTTTATGATTAGACATTTTTCTATCTTTTGCAAAAACTTTTTTTCTTTTTTCGCTTTATAATACAGAAAGTAATCTATTTAAATATTTGCCTCATTGAATACAAGTGTTTTTTGGAAGTTCTTATCATATCTTGTTCTAAAATCTAAGTGAATTTTATGTGGAAGTTTAATAATAACAATGCTAATAATAATCACATTTAACTTACTTAGGACTGATACTGTGCTAATATCTGGACTGCCCTTTGTGGTCAGTCACATTCTATGATTATAAGTCTGTTAAGTTTTTATTTATAAATGAATATTTATTCAGGAGCAATAATAATTTTCAACACAGAAGTGTTTTTTCGTCCTCTACTTGTAAGAGAAGATAAATTCCTCAAAATGATTTCTATAGATTTATTTTAAAAAATCTAAAGGAAGAAACTTAATAAATCATAACAAATAAGAGATTATCATATGTAGGAAAATTAGGCACATGAGGCAATTCAAAGATGGCACCCAAAAGAAGTAAGGTGGGCAGTACCCAAAGTTGTTTACCACCACAGCTGATTGGCCACACAGCATCAGGGGAGGTGACGACAACTGATGACGAGTGTACAGACATATGGCTGGTCCTGTAAAAAATAGCCCCGTAAAATGACCTTTTAAGTAATTTGTTGGTCCTTGTGCCCTGCCCCAATAATCCTGAGGTCTTGCGCTTTTAAAGGCTTTGTTACATGCGCAATAAATGAGTTCTTGCTCGACTTGACTCCCCCCTGCATCTGACTGTCTCTGGGATCCAGAGGCTGGGAAATGGGCGAGTGGCGCACTTACCGTTCCTCGGACCCAGTCTATCCCCCTTCTGGTGGACCAAGACCCTTCAATCATAAAGCTCTAAGAATATACTAAAAATGAGTTTCAAATATATTATGTATTGCACAATGTAGCATCATTTTCCCAATACTATTTTAAAAATACTTTCTTGACATAATACAGACATAGCTCACCAAAATAATTCACTGTTATTACGGCTTAAAAATCCTAAAAATATTATGAAGTCATGCCAATTTCACTTCCCTATGACTTTTATGAACTGAAAAATCAGGGCTAGGCAAGAATTAATTAAATTGGGGGAGAATTGGAGAGAGGATGGGAGGAGCATCTCCATTCAGAGGTGAAATCTTACTAAAATTTTTGTCCCTCAAAATTGTTGTGTTCAGGGTGGCCATTAGGTATAGCTTTCAAGACCTTAGTCGAGATTTTGCATGTCATACGAAAATACATGGATTCAAGTCCTGCCTCCACCCCTAATTCCAGCTCCCTGTTAATGTGCACCTTGGAAGTCAGCTTCTTCACAGGTCTCCCAAATGGGATGCTGGCACTGCAGGCAGTGGCTTAACCAGCTGCTCCACAATACTGGGCCTATATGTACTTTTCTATGCTATCATTGTTAAGGTTTTATTCTAAACACAATCAAAATAGTATAATTTGTGTTAAGTTATAGGGATGGAGCTCTGTGATCTTTAGTAAAATGGATTGAAGGCAGAAAGCAGTGCAAATGGAAACCAGTTGAATAATTGTTTTGGAATGCTGACAGGAGATGGTGACCAAGATAAATGGGTGGTGATGAGGTAAAAGAATTGAGAGGAATCAAGAGATATTTTGAACAATTAATAGCTCATGCTAAAATAGTCAGGATCACTAGCCATTAGGGAATTACAAATAAAAATACAATGAGGTTCACCTCAACCGAGTTAGAATAACTATTTTCCAAAACTCTACAAAAATGTATCCTAATTTGTTGTTGGTTGGAATGTAAACTAGTACAACCATTATGGAAGACAGTATGGAGATTCCTCAGAAATCTGAAAATAGATCTAAAATATGACCCGGCCATTCCATTCCTGAAAATTTACCAATGGAAATTAAATCAGTATATGAAAGAGTTATTTGCACCCCCATGTTTATTACAGCTCAATTCACAATAGCTAAGAAATGGAATCAACCCAGATGTCCATCAATTAATGATTGTATAAAATTTAATATTATATATGTACTATTATAGCATAAATATATATTTATACATACTACTCAGCCATAAAAAAGAATGAAATAAGCCTGCTACAAAAAGACAATATCCTGTTTTCTCTGATGTGTGATAGTTAATGTGGAACACAAAAAAATATATACAAATGAAACTGACATGATTTTTGTTTATGGCCCTTGTCTATATTCCTGTAGAACGGTGGTCTTTCTACTTTTTACTTATTGAACATAATGGTTATTAGTGTGTTAAGCCTCTGATTACAGGGCCAATGTGGTGGCTCACTTGGCTAATCCTTCGCCTGCAGCACCGGAATCCCATATGGGCACCGAGTTCTCATGCCGGTTGTTCCTCTTCCATTCCAGCTCTCTACTGTGGCCCAGGAGTGCAGTGGAGGATGGCCCATGTGCTTGGGCCCTGCACCTGCATGGGAGACCAGGAGGAAGCACCTGGCTCCTGGCTTCGGATCAGCACAGTGTGCCGGCCGTAGCAGCTATTTGGGGGTGAACCAATAGAAGGAAGACCTTTCTCTCTGTCTCTCCCTCTCACTGTCTGTAACTCTATCTGTCAAATAAATAAATAAATAAGCTTTAAAAAAAAAAAGCCTGTGAGTATAAAGCAAATTGAAAGTATTTTATTGTGAAATTTAAAGAAAGAATAAAGAGAGCAAGAAAGGAAGAAAGGAAGGAAGGAAAGTAGGTACCCTGAGGGAAGCATGGTTATCTTCTTAAATTGTATCTATGAAAGTCATGAAATCTATTTTTATTACATTAACTTTTTTTTAAATTGTGAGTGCTAAGACTTGTGTGAGGGGATAAGAAGAGTTGTTGAGAAAAGAGCAGGAAAAGCAAGGAAATATCTTAAGTTTCTAAGTAAGCAGTTTAGAAGTGAGATCTGTAAAAGTTTGGTATTAGAAATCAATTGGCCTGGCTTTATGGTGTAATGGGTAAAATTGCCTGTTACAGCACCAGCATCCCATATGGGTGCTGATTTGAGTCGTGGCTTCTCTGCTTCCAATCCAGCTCCATGATAATGTGCCTGGGAAGGAAGCAGAGGATGGCCCAGGTACGTGGATTCCTGCACCTACATGGGACACCTGGAAGAAGCTTCTGGCTCTCGGCTCCTAGCTTCAGCCTGGTCTGACCGGGGCTGTTGCAGCCATTTGGGGAGTGAACTAAAGGATGGAAGACCTCTCTCTGTCTCTTCCTCTCTCTCTCTTTCTCTGTAACTCTAACTTTCAAATAAATAATATAAATTTTAAAAAAGAGAGGGAAATAAATTGAAGCTACTATTTCAGATATTTTAAATATGAGATGTCTTTGAAACACTGAAATGGAAATAGCAAGCATTTGTTGGAAATACATGAAGCAGAAGTCCAGGAAAACATCTGAATTAGAAATACAGGTTTTTGTGCAAAAGAATTTGTTTTAGATCCATGGAAACAGTTGTAATCATTTGGTGAAGAGAATACAGAAAATAAGAGCATTAAAGAAGTCTTCAGCTGCCAGGAAACAGGCAGGCACATGCCAATGAGACTTGATCTACCCTGAGCAGTTTTCCAGAGACTTTGGATGCTGGCACAATATGAAAGCTAGATTTCTGTTAACCCTTTCTGCCTTTCAGTAAATTATAGGCTTCCTTCATGCAAGCTCTTTGTGTGTGTTCTGTTTCACTGAACTTGTGCAAGTAATAGGTAGTGCAGCCCCAAATGCAGGGCAGTTGATGTAGTAATCAATGCACAGTGAATTTTCCTTACAGCAGGGACAAATAAATTTAAAGGTAAAAATAAAGTTTTCAAGTTATAGCTTTTATTTTCTCATTTAAACTTAAGTAAACTTAACTGAAATCTATAAGAAGTTCATTGTAACAGACTAACAATTCCCATATTTAAAGTCAACAAAAAACTAATGGATTAGGAAGAAAATTCAGAGTATGTGATGTCACAAAGATCCTAAATAAACATCGA